AGAGAGAGAGAGAGACTAGGAACTGAACTGTGGTGAATTAGGTGGTGGGCCCCCTTTATATAGGCCTCATGTCCTGGGGTGTGCCGACGTCCATTGGGACTCAACTCCAACCCAAGGAAATCCTAGGGGCTTTTGTAAGCAAACTCGGCTTGTGGCAAAGCGAAGTCCCATTGTCTTTTCATGCCTCCCGTTATGCTTTGAAATAGGTTACCAAGGGTTCAGTTAATCACTTTAGTTTGACCATGAACATGTGGATGATAAGCCCTGCTGAACTGTAGCTTGGTACCCATTGTGTTTTAAGTTTCCCAAAAGTGGTTAGAAACTTGGTATCCCCATCTAATGTAATTGTTTTGGGAAACCCATGAAATCTCACCACCTCACAGATATTTAAGTTGGCCACATGAGTTGCATCTAGAGTCTTCTTGCAAGCAACGAAGTGGGCCATCTTTGAAAACCTATCAACCACAACAAGTATAGAGTCCATACCTCAGTGAGTTACAGAAGGCTGAACATGGAGTCCATGCTAACATCTTCCCATGGTGCATTGGGAAAGGGAAAGGGAAGTGGAGAATGTAAACATGTGTTTTGCCCCATTCCAACTTGACACACTCTGCACCTCTCGACATGCCTAGCCACTTCTAGCCTAAGTTTGGGCCAACTATATTTAGACTCCATCAATGTAATGGTTTTATCTGCCCAAAGTGTCCCCTACGGCCCCTACAATGTGGCTCTGAAATAAGGACCTAAGGAACCAATAGGAATGCATAATTGATTTTCTTTGGTGTGAAACCCATCCTGTGCTCCATAATCTCTTTCAACTCCACTTTGGCATGCACCCAAATGTGATGACTCTAATTTGTTTTTTAAAAGAATAAAAAACAAAATATTTACATACTGTTGCTTCGAGCTTATGCTTTGTCTGGTGAAGACATTCCTTGAAGGGTTGAGTGATGTCTTCATAGTTCTCAAAGATCACAAGGTGCTGAATGAAGTGATGGTTTTGAGTGATGGTTCATAGTGTTGTTAATACATCATAAGGACCATTGTTTTTTTTATCTGCATGTTTTCAGAACAAAAGATTGATAGATTAATAGGAAAAATGTGCATGTGGTGATGTAGCATTCATGTTGGTGATGTGTCACAAGGTGGCACATGCTCTTAATAAAATAGTAAAAATAAAAGAGACATAAGTTACATGTGTCACTTGGAAAAAGGCTCTCTCACTTTAAAAAAAAGGGCACTCCATCATCCCCAATCATGGGGTCCTCTCTCTCTTTCTCTCACTTTCTCTCTTTGTAAGTACCCCTCTCTCTCTCTCTCCTCAATGAATTTTTATTTTATTCTCATGATATTAGTATTATGATAATATTTTCATGCTCTCTCTCTCTCCTCAATGAATTTTTATTTTATTCTCATGATATTAGTATTGGAATTTTCATGATGATTATCTCATTATTCTCATGATATTAGTATTATGATAGTATTTTAATGATGATTATCTCATTATTCTCATGTATTAGTATTAGAATTATCATAATGATTATCTCATTATTCTCATGATATTAGTATTAGAATTATCATGATGATGATCTCATTTTCTCATGATATTAGTATTATGGTGTTAATAAAATAATATTTTCATAATGAGCCTCATTATTTTCATAAGAATAATAATAATTGTCACATCCCAGGTTTTATAATACTAGAATTCCTGAGATGTGACAGTCAAAACAAAACAAATTTGAAAATTTCGACATATATTGTACCAAAACAAATTCCATTCAGGAACTTTTACAAAGTCTATTCACAACTTATAATTCACATGAAAATTTATGCATATATACAATTTTGATAAAACAAAAGTTACAAAGGCGAACTTTTCCATCACTACATACTTCTTCCAAACTACTCCTGCTGTACATACGAACAATGCGACTGCAATTTCTCTGAAACACATTTCACAATAGCTTGATGAGTTTGGCTACTCAATAAGTGACTGTCATTATCCTTAAAAAAATCATGGTTGTAAATATTTTATAAAAAAATGCATATTAAAAACAATATGAGAAAGCGCATGCATGGAGAACAGTTTCACATTCAGAAACACACAATTTAACATAATTCAGAAGATTTGAATGCATATTGAACCAGTATGAGCAAGTGCATATATAAATCCTCTAACAGAAATGCTCAACTTAACATGATTCAAGAGATCTCTCAAAGTACCCTACCGCCGTCCCAAGTAGGTCATCTATATACCCACCAGCGTTCTGGTTGAGTCCATAT